CATTTACTATAGAAACGTCAGAAATGCCACATCATTAAAGTTCACAGATATGTAGTGCGGATTATAGTAGATTATTGTTTGTATTACTGTTATTGACTGTAATTTTATAAATATCAGTTCGTAATTATATTAACAACTATTTAACAAGACGATAATATTTAATAATGACAGCTGCGAATATCGGTATATGCGATAAGTTTAGCAGGGTGGCTGCTGCCTCAGTTAATTGATTGTGGGTCTTAAAATATTCTTCATATGTATTTTTTTAAACAGGTTTGGGAATTATCCACTATCAATTTTAAATACTTATGGATACCGCTGGACGAGCAAAATTTCTAATGCTGACTTCTTAGCAAATATTACCGGATTACAGGACTTAAATCCACAAAGAGCTTTGGTTTGCTTTCGGCAACATACCTGTCTTTGAGGTGATCAGGTCCTAGGGGATCACCAATCGCTTAATAACTTGTTTTTCTAATATTGAAAAGTAAACAACGATATTGAAAAATAAGGTAATTGCTAGATCTATTGTTGTATGTACCTAAGTAACTAAACAAAATAAGAAGATGGGGCATATAATATCTCTTGCTCCCGTCATTAAATAGTTAAATGGCTATAAAATTTAGTATTTCAACCAGTTGTTGTTAGCCTAAATAGATTTATATTAAGAATACTTATTGTCGAATTGAAATGGGATTTCGTGAACATCGATATTTTTCAAAAAACAAACAAACAAACAGAAATGAAATTAAATGTAATGTGATGTAGACGGAAATATAAATAGTGTTTAAAATATCAAAAGCACATGAAGACTTTTTAATATATTTTAGAAAAGAAGAAATGAATACCTAATCGCTTTCTTCTTCGGTAGAAATGGTTTCTTCTGAGGGAAAGAGCGATATGTCTCTCGAAACGTGGAGAAGATTAAACTGGAGACGTGGCAACTAGTACGGAAATTGTTTAGTTACCAATATACAAGATGTTCTAGTTGAAATTCTGGAAAATACCTTATAAATATACAGAGTGCTCTTAAATTGCTTTTCGACATTTTAAATAGAGACAGTTCATAAAAAAAATAAAGATACTTTTTCATATAAACCTCTCCATCAGTGAATAACTAATAATGGAAATATAGGTATCCCTTTTAAAAGAAGATGGCATATATAATATTTTTTCGATATCTTATTAATATTTAAATCTTAGACTTATAGCTGTTTTACATTGACAATTTATTGATCAATTAATTCATGAAGTCGCTTAATCAAGAAATTAGACAAGTGTAATGCACCAAATCTGCTGTCAAATAACTTCATGAATTTATTCATCAATTTCTTGACGAATTAGAGCATGTTCTAATTTTCGTCAATTTCTTCGTGAAGTTCGGAAGTGCCAACCCAACAGATTTCCACCCTCAGATCAGGAATGAGGTTATGTTATTGGAATATATAAATAATTGTGTGGCGTCGTACTAGTTTTGCATTGTTTTTACAGATTTGTTACTTGCAAACACTAATATTTCTATAATATGTGTCAAAATGGTACCGCTGTTGTATCACTACAGTTATGAGTGGAAAGGTGACATTTTTGAAATTTATTTGCTTCTTTGATTCGTTGGTAGAACTGATTCATGCGTCAAAAAACTTGATAAAGTCTGTAGCAATGTAAAACCACACTGTTTACCATAAATTCGTGAATTAATTCATGAAGAACTTCGTCAATTTATTCATCAATAAATTGTCAATGTAAAACAGCTATTAGAGTATATAGGTACTAATTCTAAATAAATATTCTTCAAACCTAATAAGACGTAGTTTTAGATGATGCCTATTATTATTTCGTCCATAATTTATATATTTTTACCTCGCTTTTAAAAAATATTGATTTCTAGACTATTCACGAAATACTGTTGTTAAATTTCATAAAACCAAATGTTTTCGAGAAACTCAAGTCTATAAATAAAGGTGCATTTGTAATATAATGAACTAATGAATAATTTCCGTAACAAATACTTTAGTTGTAGGTATTATTTATGATTTGAAAACAAATAAAATTCATTGCTTCTAGTGAAGAAAACAAAGACAGTAGAATTTTTTAAAAAATGTTTAAAAATTTAAACAACAAATAATATTATCTAAGTTTTGTAACGAATGAGTCTATGACATAACTTTTTTGAGGTGAGTTTGTTTACTTTGTGGTATATTATAATACAAAATGTCACTTTATAAAAAAATGGTACTTATTGAAATCATTGAAAACGTCTGTTTTTGTTAAAAACGAAGTTGATTTTCCCAAAGGCAACCTACTTCTATTTGTTAATATAATAGATGGTGTCAAAAAGGCCTTATTTCAAAGATAGCTTTGTTGGATGGAAAAAATTTATCTTTGTATAACTTTGCTTTTTCTCGAAAACGGTACGATTACAGCTATTTCAGCTAACGCTGACGTATCCTCAAAATATCAGTATATTTGCTTTTTGGAAAAGATACGGTCAAAATCTGATTTTCAAAAATCGTTCCTGATGTCCTGTATATCAAAAACAGATGACCATAGGTTCTTGGCCTATAGAAAAAGTCATCTTACTTTTTTGATGTTCTATTGTCTCCAAAATTCATGGTACCTGTTTCCAAAACCCTGTATAATGTATATTAGTAGGTAGATATTTGAGATTTTAATTGGAATAACATGTACTATGTATACTTACTGCAAATACGGGTGGGCAGGTCTAGGTTAAGACGCCATTTTATATCAACCTATAAGGAATTTCACACTCTCTCATGTAACCATTTCCTCTGGGAAAACTTAAGTAAACGAATCCTTTGTTTTTCTTTTTTAATCTTTAATTAAATAATTGCTCTAATTTCCAAGCCAGTTTACTGTTGTGGGATTTGGTATAATTATTATTATTAGATAGAATAATGAAGGATTATAAGATTAATATTTTATATTCCATTATAAAGGTCAGGCAATTTTAATGCGATTAAAAAAAATTATACAATAATAAGCTATACAGTCTTAAACCGGAGTCTTGCATCAAATTTTATCTTTGTCACATATTTATTTGCGTGTTGTACTGATATGAATATTTATCGTAGTACGTTGGTAAAGGTATCTATTTTAGGCGTTCTAGAAAGTATTTTGCTTTATTGTCAATAAACTTGAATTTTTAAAATAAACATAATTTCACATGCAATTAAAATATATTTAGAAAACACCCAGTTCCAGAGAAAGTATCTGAATCATTGAGTAAATATTGTTCAACATTAACAAAACGCAGTATTTCAATAGTTATGTGCTAGGTTATGTGTTTCACTGAAATGTTGGCCGATGTTTGTAAAAATTTGGAAGTGCAGAACTTAGTATTTCTGCATCAATATATGAATAAAACATTCTAGCGATTTATAGAAATTGAGCGAATAAATTCCGTAAGCAATTAAAAACATGCTATTATCCGAATTCTAAAGATGATTCCCAATCAAGTCCCCGAATTCAATGAGGTTAAAGCCAATAGTTTTCTATTAAGTTGAAACAAACGAAATATTTTTAACATAAAATTATCTAAATAGTCTATACCATACAATTTTACTATTTTGGTACAAATTAGTTATTTCTAAAGATGACACTTTTAGATAAATTTATAGTTATACAGGCTGGTACACATGTCAAAAATGAAGGAGGGTATTCCTAGTTCAAATTTAAGAATATTGTTTTATATAAACAATTTCTCTTGAAAGGGAAATGGAGATGTGCTGTTTTTTATCAAATTATCTGAATATCTGAAAGCATAAGGAAATATGCAAGAAAATGTATCTAAAAATGTTCTCCAATACAGGGAAGACTTTTTAATATCAGTTTGTAAAGTCATTTAAATAAACTGTATATTTATCTAAGGGTATAATTAAAAAAAAAAATTCGTACGAACACCGTAAAGTAATTGTAAACAGGTAATACCTTCAAAATAAAATTTGCATTTAAAAAATGACAAAAAAGTTTTTTTACAGAAGCATGTCTTTATTTTTGAAGAAAATATAACCGACATATTTCAATATTTACGCCGGTAGATTGAATAAAGTCTTATCTTTTTTATGGTGAATGTCATTTTTCTCATAGAAATATGCATAAAATATTTGGTTTCGGTATCTTTATTTGTTCAGAAGAAATTCAAAAACAATTTTTTTTTAAACAGATATGGAAGTTTTGACATATTGACATAAGGCTACTTCCCGTATAATATAGTTAAAAAAAATAAAACAAATCATTGTTTAATATATAAATAAGTGAGTTTAGTCGTTTTTTTAAATAAAACATAATACACCTAACCTTAAATTTTTTTCGAATAAACTTAAGATTATGTGAAGTTCTGTTAGAAGTAATTCTTAGTAACAGCGACAATTTGGCAGCACTATGCCAACGAAAAGCAAATTAATTGTTTCTTGAGAAAACGGTGACCATTATTGACAACGTCGTATTGTTATCGTGAGAAATATTGTAAATCCTGTACCCAAACACGTAAATTATTGTCTTTCATGCACTAAAATTTACAGATGACTCATGCTCATTAACAATTCTATTTGCTAAAACTAAATAAACACTAAACAACCCCGACCAAGGTCGAAAACATCGTAAACTAAAACAGGCTGTTGTTCAACCCCCCGCTACTATTCTAATCATACTTATCGTTTGTAATTTGGCGATAACAATCCCTTATCCACTTAGTGCCCTTTCACGTTGAGGCGACATTATTTGAAAGCCCTTGACCAATCAAATTCTAATGGTTGGTTTGGTCCCGAGCTCAACCAATAAGAGGGGGTTCTACCGTCGTGGGTTACAGCCTCATAAGGGTAGTTAAAAAGAAACCCTCCTGAATTTGTAACCAGTTAGAAATATTTGGGTTTTCAGCGAGGTAGTTGTGTTTTGTTTTGTATATATTTTTCTTTCTTTGGTTTTTGTGTTCAGTGGTTCGACTTTGTGGCGTATTGGAAACTCAACGATATTTTAATAAAATGGATAGGAAGCAATACTTATCTAACAATTATAGTGGTATGTTTTGTTTTAGTTATAATTATATAAAAATATTTTTTGAATTAAAAAAAACATAAAACGTAAAAAAATAATCATATAGTATAATCATTTACATATAACGAAAAATGAGTTGGTTTAAATTAAATAAAAATGAAAATTAATAATATTTTAACTATGACGTCAAGAAAGATAATTATCTTCTAAAAATAATATTCTATCTAATTAGTAAAATAGTGAAATATCAACTTCTTCAAATTCTTTTTCATTTCATATGTAAATATTTCAATTTCTATTTCTCAATTTTCAATACTTTTTCAGATTGTTGTGCTCCAAGTAGTTGCAAAGTTACTTTGAAAAATAAAGCCCTTTGGCAGAAATTTCATGAATTAGAGACTGAAATGATCATTACTAAGTCCGGACGGTAAGTTTTTCATACATAAATATTTATTAAAAACTGTGTTCTTTATATTTTCCTACATCAGTATTCTAGAGTATATATTTTTGAATATAGAAAGAAATTATTATAGAATTAAATAAGCGATATCACAAAGGTTGTTGTCAATAGAACACCCGATATATTTTTAGATCGTTAGAAACTTTCTTCAGTTATAGTGATATAAAGTTTGATTATGTATCTATAGTGAAGGAGATGTCGAGGCTATGTCGATATTCTTTTTTTTGGCCATGTTTCCTTTACTATAAAACCTATGAAATCTTGTATCACTGTAATCGTAAGAAGGTGTTCTCTTCAAATGTTTAAAAGTACAACAAAACAAAAATCGGTTTCTTTCGACATCTTTGCAATGTTAATTAGATTAATCTGATATAAAATTTTGAGCTTATACTTTTATTTTTAACAAATCTACTTTCAAAAATAATAATAAATACAGCTAAATTGTAAAACATAGAGAAACACTTTGTTTATATAAGAATATAACACCGTTATAGCTCTGCACGCGATTACAGTGATATAAGGTTTGATTGATTGAACTATCTCTTATAGTAAGGGAGATGTAGCCCAAAAAAGTCAAAATCGATATGGCTCAATTTGCGAATATCTTCTTTACTATTAAAGATAGACCTATCAAGTCTTACATCCCTATAATCGTAAGAAAGTGTTTTATGCAAATCTCAAAATATACAGGGAGTTTGGTTTAAAAAAAACAAAAGTCTGTTCATTTTCATACCTTTGCAATATTTGTTTCATGTGATACAAAATTTTGACGCTTTCGATTATTTTCTAATAAACACTGTTAAAATCTTGTTTAAGTTAATACGGTTTTTCTTGAAAACCATAAAGTTTTTTAAAATTTAACAAGAGTAAAAAAATTTTTAAAATTAAATTCTGCTGTGAATTGATATTATTATTTTTTAATTCGGTTAATGAAAAAAAAGTTCGGTACATTTTTAGGGGTGAATGAATACCTTGTAGTGCTTCAATTAACTTTAAATCATAGTCAAAGAAGACCAGTAATAAACCTACCTCATGTGCCAAATTTGGTTCTTCCACAGTAGTGTTGCAGAGTTATTAATTTTTTTCGAAATTTAGGTCCCCACTTTGGTGGCTAATAGCTCAGGGGTGCAACTTTGTATATAGGTAATTTTGGTTAAATTACAATATTTTGGACACCCCTCATGCACTTGCCCTGTGTCGGTTCTTATGCGGGACACACTGTATTTTCCTCCTGCTTATATGTAACTTTGGCCAGTGGCGTAACATTTCTTATTTTGAAAAAACTATCTGGTTATGACAATGACACATCACTGGGGCTGCATATTATTCTAATTAAAAATAATTTTAATTACTTACACTTTTTACTTGTGGTCCTTATATACACCCTGTATTTTGCCCAGAAAACCTAGATACTTTTCTGTGGATGTATAACAAATAGGAGTAAATATTATGTTTATTCTTATAATTTAATATTACAAGACAGTGTGGTTTGTTACTTTTAATGTGAATTCAAAAAGTAAACGGATACTGATTCTAGTTACTTTATTTTAAAGTTTTATTAATCCAAGGGAAGCATTCCGAGGAATTCGTACTGCTACTATCAATTTCCGCAATTTTTAGGTAGTTTGGGGGCAAACGCGTAAATATTTATAAAAAAATCGTATACTGGGTGTGTTTACAGGAACAGAAGTAAACAGTAATCGGGCTGCTGAAAAGTACCACATGTGCCCCAGAATGCGTTCGTAAGTGCAAAATATTAAAGTTGTATAAACATGTTCGGATAAGCAAAACATTTGACTTCCCGTTTTAGCCGCCGTCCTGACCTAAGATAATAATAACAGGAGAGCCTAGTAGGCGACGAAACGCCATAAATTCTGAAAGCACCGTCTACGTTTTAAGTTGTTTTCGAGTACTCTCTCTACCTGCACTACACGAAATTACTGCAATGTAATTACCGGCGACAATTTTCACTTCAGACATGTGATTTTTGCGACGAAAGGAAAACAACATCTATAATTTTTTATTTATCCCGTATATCGAACTAAATAAAAATATTAATTTAATGTTTTTCTGTTGATTTGGCAGAGAAAACTGGTTTATCAAATTTCGGTTTCATGTATCTACACCCTGTATACTTACGTCTTCAGAGTGCTCTTAAGTCGTATTGCCAACAGTAAGCGCCATTTTCAATAATGATAAATAAATGTAACTGTTATATTAATCGAAATGCGCCAAGATTATCATAAATTCTCCCAAAAACCATAAAAATGTATCTAGATTTGGCGAACAATCGAAACGGAAATCGATTGAATTTATTTATTTGTGGTACAATTTTAGATTTTTCTTTGTTTAATGGGTATTTTAACGAACTTTTGTGCCAAAAGAATCTGTCAAAGGCTTTTTTCTTTAATAAATGTCGCAAAATACCAATTCATAGAAATGCAGTTAATAATTTTGATTCATGGTGAATGTCCCATGGATATAAAATAAATTTAAAATATCTTGCATTTTCCTTGTCGAGTAAATACTTGATTCTTATAAAATACTGAATGACAATACCAATATTTGTCGTTCAAGGCACATTCGATGGTATTTTTAATGTAACATTCTTGAAAATGGAAGAAAACCGCAAATATCTGAGAAAATCGAAACTGTAACCTTTACAATGGCTATATAGGTGAAAAGAGAATTTGATTTTCTATAACATGATACAAAAAATACAGGGTGTTCCATTTGAATTTAAAAGGTTTTGTGTGTTTTAAGTTTTCTAAATGTAACGTAAAAAATGGTTCACTTGGTATAATTTTCTTCAGGTAATTTTGACAGCGGAAGGTAATGCATTTTATGTTCCTTGTGTGTTGCAAAAAGCAAGTAGCTTCCAGAACGAAGGAAGATATAACGAATTTTCCAAACGTCTGCATCTGCCAAAATTTTTATCAAATGTCAATTATCTCGAAAACGTTTAGATTTAGGTACAGAGAAGCTTTAACATTTTTACTATTTATCAATTATGTAATAATATACAGGCTGTCACATAATTAGTATCCAATAATTTACCACTTGATTCTATTGCCAAAAATAAGAATATTTTTTCATATAACCATGGATCGATAAATGCTTCGCAAGGGAGCTACGCCCCCCTAAATGGGGCCTCAAAAAATTTATTTTTTTTTTAATATTTCCGAAATGGGTTGAAGGAAAATTATGAATTTGGACATCGTGAACGCTCATTAAAAGTCGAAATAGTTCATTATAAAATTTTTCAAAAATTTTAGTCAGGGGCGCCTCAATTGGGGAGGTCGTCGGCTAAAATTTGCCCCAATTTTTTTGCTTGTAATTTCAAATTCAGATGACAACAGATGATAGACCTTTATTTCCTCTACAAAAAAGATACTCTTTAGTTCTTTCGATAAAATGCTCCATTTCCGAGAAAAACGGATCTAATCATTTCATTACATACATTAATAAAATTCGAAGAAATTTTCTTAAATAGTTAAAATGGGTACATGTACCATTATCAATATGACGTAAGTTATAATTTGGTATAATCGATTGCATTTCAGATCCATCAGGGGCGTAGATATGGAGGAGTACCTATTGATTTTTGGCCAGAAAATATACTCCATTGTATTTTACTTTATTTTAAGGATATTTTAGAGAAAAAAGACGCCCTTGCACATTTGTCATTTAGCGAACGACTTTCGAGCTATTGAAATTTTTTAAAAATCATGCTAATCTATCTATGAAATCTACTAAAAAAAAACACAGTTGGTGACTGTCACTGAATAATAACATGCGCTGTCACTATGGAGAAATAAATGACTCACATTTAAACGATGTCCAATGAAAAATTTAGAAATTACCAATAAAAAACACATTTTGTAATTTTTTTTTTGGTTATAGGAATTTTTGTCGTATATTTGGAGTATAATCTGCTTTAGAATTCTCTGAACAACACTTTGCAACGCCCTGTATACGTCATGGTCCACAGATTTTTTTGTTGTTATTAGATATAAAAAATCTGATCATCCAAATCATTATGCGTATTATAATTTTTTTTCCATAATAATACTTCCTTTTTACATACAAGATTCTTCCCTTTCATATTGGTGATGCATTCTTTTTCGAAAACAGCAAATGGTACATATTTATTTAAAACTTGGTAAATATGAGTATAAATTATTCCAACCACCTCATCTACATTTTGTGAATTATATACATGTCATTGAAATTAATATTTTTACGTAAATTGTACATTTACAAAAAATATATATATTTGGGATTAAAAGTTTTAGCTTTATTAAGTTCATCAAACATTTAAATTTAAATCTTTTAAACACTAAAATATGACCACTCAAAAAAGGACCCAAATGACATGATAACTGATAACATAACATACTAGGTGGTACATAAACTACATAAATATACCAAACAGTGAAATTCAAATTTATTTTAACTTTTTAGTTAAAGAACTTCTTGGCCGGTGAAGTGCTTAGGGTTTCTAATTTCTCGGCCTACTTTTCTTCTCGGGTCTCAAGAATTCTCGACTAGGAATTCCCGGGAATTATCGAATTCTCGATAAATTTCTAAAACTTAAAAAAGTAATAATTTTGGTATTGCAATGAGAAATATAAACATGCTATTATACTTAACAATCATCATTAACATTTATTATTTATTCAGTATTTTTATTAATTACTTATATGTTTCTACTTCTACTAACAAAACTAAATTAAACTTTGAGTATCTTTTTTTAAAAACCTTTAACTTGTTTTTTTATTAAACACTTTCATTATACTTATGTTTATTTCAATGTTTTTGAATCGTAGTTTTCTTCCAATAAACTATTAATAATCATTAATCATGCAGTCTTTTAATTAAACAAATAGTAAATAAGGAATTTAACTGAAGAAATCTTAAAAAAACAAGCTTTAATTTAAAGATACAGAAGCGTTCTTCCTATTAAT